GAGTAGGGCCGGATATGGTTATACAATGCGGCTCAGATCCGGGCCGAATGCGGCCCGGATCATGGATGCCGGACCCGGGCCACTGCAGGACCGTCATTCATTGCGGTGTGTGGGCCGAGTGTCGTGCCGTGTCCGCGCCAGAGCTGGGCCAGACCAATTTTGCTGACTGGGAAGGGTTTGTTTACCAGTGGTGCCATCGGATATCGCTCTGCCTCTTTCCATCCAGAAGTATGTGAGGCGTCATGGTGAAAAGGTCGATACTCATTGTCATGAAGGACAGGAAATGCTCAGTCACTTTAATGCCGACGTCAGACAACACAAATGTAGCCTGACTTTGAGCTGACAGACGTGTCGCATAAAAATATAATGTCTGGTAGACGATCCTAAATGAGCTTTTGAGGATGTTACAGTATATCCCGTATGACTGCACTGATCCATGCAAAATTAAAATGTCAAATAAGGATATCGAGGTCAGCTCCGAACTGTGTGACAATCCCATTAGTGTGATTCAGTTCATCACGTCTGATATTTTGGGCCGAGCGCTCGAAGATAGCTGATGCGTTGGTTGTTTTCGATCCGCAGTTGCTGCCACTCTGCAAAAGCGCGTGAGCCACTTAAGGGCAAAGCAGACCTGTTATATGCAAATATGCCGAGTTGCTTGCCGCTGTGTCACATTGCCATCTTTAAAAAAATGTTCTTCTTGGCGTCCGCACATAGAGGAAGAAAGTCTCGACCTTGCCACCTCAAAAATAGCCTGACCTCCACCCAGGCGTCAGTGGGACGTCTCGCTGGAGGACAGAATCATGTTCAAGTAACCTGATGATGACAGGATGTAAATGTGACATTTTGAAGGCAATTGATATTTAACCCTTACATATTAATAAGCGTGTAGGTCAAATTATGAACTACAGATCTTTTCAAAATGATTCAATAAGCTGTCAGACACTAATAAACCATTTTCATTTGCTCCATTGCAGGTATAGTACAGTAAGTACTTTTTTTGTCTCGCACCTGGGCAATGCACTCTCTTGCCTCTGCGTGACTTCTTCATGTTAAGTATGTCAGATCATTCATCATCTGAAAGCGCTATACAAATAAAGATGTATTGTATTAATATCAGTGATGAATGACAAATGCTTAATGCTAATGTCTGCTCGGAAAGCAGCAGAGGGGCTGACATTCATATATTTAAAACACTTAACATTGTGTGTTAAGCCTCACCCTATTTTTAATTACAGAATCAGAAACAGTTATCGTAGAAATTTGCATTTATTCTTTCACTACTTTTGTTTTTTAAAAATCCGTACGTGTATACAGGAGTCCGCTTCAGTTGAACCTCAGATCGAATTTTATGACTCACTGCTGCCTCATCTTTGTTTCTGGGTGCAAGTAAGGAAGAGATGAAACACCAAGCATCTTTAAATGCCCTCGCCTTAATCGAACGCTGTCCTTTTCATCTGGATGGCATCTGCCTGCCTGCACTTCGTGACAGACACATCCACAGGAACTTGCAATGCCCTTCAGAGAATCTCTCAAAGCAACCGGCGACTTGTTTGCCAGGTGAGAGAGTGCATGTGCTCTGTGGACAGATAATTCAACCCAAACAAGTAAAACAAACGCCGACTTTCCCCGAAAGTATATTTGTTCTGTAATCATGTATGAACTACGTAAATGAACTCTAGACTACACAGCCTCCTCTCAGTATTTAGCATTACTCTTTTGTCATTTGACTCAGACTAAGCGCGGATCATTTTCAAGGCTTCCAAAAAAGTTTTTTGTCTTTTGAGTTTTTCCTGTTCTGTGACTCCCACCACAAAAGCACGTGACTATAAACATTGGCTTCATGAGGTCACCTTTCACTGCTTCCTCTATTTTTGTGTCAGTAGCATATCTTTGTGCAGGTATAATATCAAGTATACGATCAAAATGATGCCTGTAAAGTCTTGTGTGCATCAACTTTTTAAATGTGTAAGATAAGATATGAAAACCTTCTCACAATGGGGAAATTCGCAATTTACAGCAGCAAAATTTGGAGGGAAGAAAGTAGAAAAATATGAAGTATTTGCATGCACAAAATAAATGTTAAAAATGAACTGCACACAGTACAGGATGCAATATAAAATATAAGCACATATTCAACTGCATATATGCTGCATAAGGTGGCTGTGTTATTTAAAATGTGTGAGTGGGGGTGAGTCCAGGTTTTCAGGTGCATCTATTCAGTAGCCTGACAGCAATCGGCAGGAACGAGCGTATCAGTCTCTGGCTGAGGGAGCTGCCCAGTGCTGTCAGACTGGACTGGAGGGGGTGGGAGGGTCTGTCCATCATAGCTTTTTTGCTTAGCTAGCATCCTCCTGTTGCCCATCTCCTCCAGAGTCTCTAGGGAGCAGCCCAGGACAGAGCTGGTCCTCCTGACCGGTCGGTCCAGTCTCTCTATCTCGCTCCTGGGCTGAGATGCTGCCTGACCAGCAAGCTATGGCATAATGAATGGCTGAAGCCACCACAGAGTCATAGAAGGTATTAAGGAGTGACCCCTGAACTCCAAAAGACCTCAGTTTTCTGAGTAGGAAGAGTGGCTCTGTCCCATCGTGATCAGAGAGTCCGTGTTGGTAGACCAGTCTAGTTTATTGTTGAGAAGAACACCCAGGTACTTGTAGGAGACAATGCCCTGAAAAGTAGACCAAAGTAAAGAAAAAAAAACCTAATGGTCAGCTAAATACTTCCCTGACCCTGTGGAGGTTATAAAGCCTTGAGTGGTCAGTCTTTCAATCTTAATCCACACAATGGAGATGTCAAACTCATTTTTGTCATTACCGTTTCCCGTGGTTATTACTGAAACTATATGAAGAAACCAAGAATCACGGTGTATTCAATTATTGTTTGAGTAACTGTAATGAGGGTTTTGGTAACAAGAAAATGCTTACAAAATATCTCTTACTCATTACATATGAGAATTTGAAATCTTGATACAGATTGTAGCAAGCATCATGGAAGTTGACATGTTTGATTTGCTTTCGCAGTTCACATAAAAAGAAGTGGCGGGCCAGATCTGATCTTGTGTTTGACATCTGTGATGTAGATCAACACATGCTGAGTTGATATATAGGTCATCTTCACTGGAGGCAATACAAAATGACAAAGCACACCCAATCCACCCACTCCCACCACCACCACTCTTCAATCTGTGAGAAGTCCAGGATGTTCCAGCACAATCTGGACATAAAGTGCTGGTTTTGACAAACACATGCTCATCCGGCTTGTGCTCGCTATCAGAACATCCGCAGGCCCGGATTAAACATGAGCCATGAAACACACAGACAGTTGTACCTTTACAATGATATCATAGTGTAGACTTGTTTTTCCGGTTATGAGACTTCGCTTGATTGATTGTTATGCTTTGTGTAGCAAGCCCAAATTTGAATTACACATCAGTTTTAGATACACTGCCATGAGAAGTTTCCCCCCAAAAACGTACGTTTTTCAAAAAAGAGAGCCGTAGTTGTCGATGCACTTTCAGTCATTTAGTGACTGGGACAGTCAAACACACAAATGCAAAATGAGAACACTCGGAAGGGAGGTGGAGGAAAAGCTAAACTGCATGGTAAAAGGCCAACCAGACTGACTCCAAGTTTGTGAGGTCACTCACAAGGCTACACCCCTTAAAGGCACACATCATCTCTATACGAAAATGATAATGCTTTTGATTTAAATGTGTTACATTAAAACTTCTCCGAAATGAACAATTACACTGGAGCATTTTCACCATCGCTCCATGTTTATGTCCCTTCTCAACACTGGAATACCATGAAATTATAGGAATACAATGTTCATTAGTAGAGTAGCACTGAAACTTTATTGTACGTTTACTCCAGAAAACCAGAGGACAAAGAAACCATACTTCAAAATACATAACAGTTATGATGAGTAGAGCACACTGTAGTGTGCAGCAATGCTACCTCCTTCTACCAATTATTGCTATTTCGTTTTGAGATATGGTCGACGAGGCCCAGTCTCGCCTTGTTAGCCTCCAGTGGGAATGTCACTTCAGCGAGCATCAGGCGAGCCACTGAGGCGGAAGCTGGAACAGTGTGTACCAAAACATATCTACAGTTGAAGCTTTTGTTCGGATTGTTGTGGCCAGGATGAACTAACTCGGAGGAGGTGCTGGCCTGGTGGTGGGCCGAAAAACATCCTGCTGACTGTCTCTTTAAATTCGTCCAAATGCAAAACATATTCCGGAAATATTAATGTAAAACAGTATGCTACAAACGGTTCAAAACACTATATTTAGACACTTCGCGCTAGTAGCTTTTTGAACAAGGAATATTGTACATTCCCATTGGGGTTGTGGCTATATAGCTACACGTTTATTTGACACTGCTGTCCTCTGCTGGCTTGTTGTAGCAACAACTCATGACTTGTCAGTGTGCCATGCCGCAATGTACTGTATCTCTTGTTGCTTTAACACTGATCAGAGTCATTTGATGATCCCAGCTGCCTTTGAAGCTCAACTTTCTGTCTCTCCATGTGGTAGATTTCTTTGGACATTAGCCTGCATAGATCAGGGACAGATGTATCTCCATGGGGCCAACCGTAAAACAATTTATCACCACATAGGCAAAGACAATGCAGCGGACTGTGGCTATTCACAGGGAATATGGAGCAGTACCTCCAATACACGTTTTCAACGAAAAATGAGAAGACATGGGGCTGTGGTGGGGTGGTTGTTAAAAAACCCAAATAGAGCCCCAAAATAAAAGTTCAGGTCATCCCTTTTCTGCCACCCAGATGTCCCGCTGCCTTTTACTTAAAAAATTATGAAATGGCCCTCTTCGTCTTTACCTGTGGGAGGCCTGGGCCTTGCTGATTTGACAGTGAAGGTGCTTGATGATGGCATTAAAGCGCTTGGTTTGCCCCTAAGACAGTGCAAACACATCATTAAATACATTCAGCAGCTTTGAAAGTTTCTTTTGCCATACCTCAATGTCTTGCTTTAACTGGACATGGCTCTCCAACTCTTTCTGAAGACTTTCCCTCCTCTCTGCTATATTTTCCATCAACTCTCCAATCTCCACTGTCAGGGCCTCAATCTCTCTCTGTCGAGATAAAATCCAGACTTTCGTACAGCTGTCTGGAAGTAAACATGGTGGTCATAGGCCCATGGTTACAAATTTACCTTTTCTGACTGCACTTTGATTCCATGTGGATTTTCTAAATCCTCCTTCAGCTCCTCCTTAAACTTCCTCAATTTTTCGACAAGGGTTGTCTTCTCCTCTTTGCAAGCATCAGTATGGTCCATCTTGCGCAAAACTGCCTGCCTGTGGCTCACCATTTTTCTTCGATAAATGTCAAACTGAGCCCGTGCCATGCAGGCCGTCTCCTCTTCCTCACTTATTTGCTCCAGGAGTTTTGCCTTGTCCACTGTGATGGAGGCACAGTGGTCACGTCTTGCCTGCATTTCCTGCTCTAAATGCATCATGTCATCTTCCACAATAAGGAGGTCTCTCGCTTTATGTCTCAGTTTCTTCTCAGCCTCGTCGCTTTTCTTCTGCACATCCGATAGAGTCACCTGTCAAAGGCATTCAACATTTATGCACATACAGTATATATTCTTTCACTGGAAGTAAAATTATGCATTCCATTTACTGCGATTGGGTCAAAAATCCATCGATCCATCCATCCATTTTCTAATCAGCTTATCCTCACGAGGGGCGCGGACGTGCTGGAGCCTATCCCAGCTGTCTTCGCGCAATTGGCAGAGTACATCCTGAACTGGTTGCTAACCAATCGCAGGCACACAGAGACGAACAACCATTCGGGCTCACAATCACACCTAGGGACACTTTAGAGTGTTCCATTAGCCTGCCATGCATGTTTTTGGAATGTGGGAGGAAACCAGAGAACCCGGCCAAAGCCAACGCAGGCACGGGGAAAACATGCAAAATCCACACAGGAAGGTCGGAGCCGGAATCGAACCCTGCATCTCTCCACTGTGAGACCTCCGTGCCGCATGGGAGAAAATAGTGAGGGGAGAAAAAAAAATAAAACTATCCTTAAATGTTTTGTTAAAATTAAAGGTGAACCTGTAGGGAGCTGAGAGACTCTTGGTCTTTTTGCAGAGTTTCAAACTCAGTGGTGTCACGTTGGCTGATATTTTCCAGAGCTTGGCCTACTGTTAATTGACTCTGAGATCCTGAAGGTCAGATAGGAACAAAGTATCATTTTTTTTCGTCAAAACATATAATTGTGGATGAAAGGTACAACCCCAAGCTCATATTTGGACAAACAGAAATTACAATTATAAGTTAAAAACGAGAGCTAGAGCTGGATAGCGATGTTAGCATTGAAAAGCGTTCTCTTTTTTAAAAGGAATATATTGATTAAATTTGCAAAATATGTGTGTTCAATTGGCTATTGTTCACCCACCTGTACAAGTGGTGGGATTTGACATTTTAACATCAGTGAGTTTTTGCTTTCTCTAAATGAACTAAGAACCAAGGATTACCAGGAGAGTTAAACTGTGTCAGCAGTAAAACTACAACTCCCAGCGTGCTTTTTAGTACCGTTGACCCGTCAGTTCGCAAACTACTTCCGGGTTTCATTCCCATGTTGTTTGTTTTGAAATTCTGTTCAAACCGACCTCAACGCTGTTTTTAGTTTACTCATCGATTACACGTGTGCAAAAAAATACACTGTCAAATGTTTTGTCGTAGTTTGTGTCGCTTGCGTGCAGTCTTTTCCTGCGTAGTTTACAGCAATCTAAACAGAGGATGGTGGAGAACAAGCTCAGCACACACTGGTGAAAAGGATGCGATTGCACTGGCACAGCGCTGTATTACATTGACGACAAGAAGCCTCCTTCACAATGATGTCGGGTGCTTGTACGAAAACGATTCTGTTCAAATGTATCTTCGGCAGCTCATGGACAACCACAAAGCTCTTGAGCACAAGTTGCAGCGTTCAAACCTGAGCGAAGCTCACAGGAAAGCATTGGTTAAGAAATACACTGAGCTGCTGCCTTTGGCTAATGTCTATTACAAAGTTGAACAGGCCCTGAAAGATCTTGACGAAATTAATACCATATTGCATTGTAAGTACCCCGTTTTATAATTTTGGGAAATGCAGTAGTATGTTTGCTCGTAGTATCAGTGCATTTTATCTAATCTGTGGAGAATGTCATAGTTATCATTTATTTCATACTATATGTTGGATATCATGATATTACTTTTGCTCTACTCTTGACTGTTGCCCCAGCTGGTTCCAAAGATGAAGATGAACAGTTTGATCAGCTGCTGAAAGAAGAGGAAGTGCTTATTGCAGACAGGATTTCAGGCTTAAAGAAAGAGGTAAGGACGCAAGAGCACGTGCATGATCAAAGTTTTTGTAGAATATTCAGTGGTGTGGTTGAGTATATTCCCTCTCTCTCTCTGGCTCTTGCTCTCTAGTTAATAAAAGCTCTCTTGCCAATTGACCCTCTGGACTCTAGTAGCATTCTGCTGGAGGTTGTTTCAGGACGAACAATGGGAGGTTTGTGACTTTCACGTCAATTATGGTTCAGTTATAGCTGTATTAAACATTTACATACACGCAACAGAAAAAGTTAGGGGCATTGGGCTTTTGGGTGCAATTTTAGTATGAACCTAAAATGTACTGACCTTTACAGATAATCTCAACTTTACGTTCACTAAAATTTTCAATGCTCATGTCATCACTACTCTTTGAACAACTTAACATAAATACAAAGGCTAAATTGTAAAATTCACAACAGTTGTTTGAGCCTTGAACATTTCCAAGCGTGTCCCCTCCTGTGCCTTTATGTGAGACTTTATTTCTCTGCTACAACCTGCTGTTGGCACTCTGTGACAGTTCAGTGGCCATTTACAGGTCTTGTTAATCAAAAGCTAGTTGCCATCTTGATCTCATGGTGTCCAAATGTGAATAGCATGATGAAGAGGGCCATTTACATTACAATTCTAATTGAACCAGGACATTTATTGGTCGATTTACACATTTGTGAATGTTGCTGTTAAGCTCCTGTAGTGAAACATTAAACAGTTGGATGAGCATTCAAAAAATTGGGGAAGAGCAGATTACATTCCCACATAAAGGTTATGAGGCATTTTACGTTGATCCTGAAATTTCACCCGAAACCTGAATACTCTGAACATTTTTTCGGAGTGCTGTCTATCAGAGGTTTATTTAAATTGTGTATTTTTTTTAGGTGACATATGTCAGCAATTCACCAGAGAAATGTTTGATATGTACCAGGGTTTTGCCGCTTATAAGAACTGGGATTTTGAGATCTTTAACTACACTCCTGCAGAGTTTGGTCTGTATACAGTATATATTCTGCTTGCTTTACTCGATACACTGGAGCCTTGAGCTTTTTCTCATGTCCTTCTCAGGTGGTTTGCATCACGCGGCCGTACGTATAGCTGGGGAGAATGTGTACAGACATCTGAAGCATGAGGGTGGAACCCACCGTGTGCAGAGGATTCCTGAGGTGGGCCTTTCCTCCAGGATGCAGCGAATCCACACTGGAACCATGACTGTGGTCGTTCTGCCTCAGCCTGTTGAGGTACAGTAACTCATCAACAGCTCTCGATTTTAATAACTTGAGTTTAAAGCTAACACGTGCGCTCCAGGTGGATGTCAGCATCGACCCCAAAGAGCTCCGTGTTGATACGTTCAGATCTCGAGGTGCTGGGGGTCAAAGTGTCAACACAACTGATAGCGCAGTGCGCATTGTTCACCTCCCCTCAGGTATGACAATCCAACAGCTGTCAAGCTTGTCCAGACTTTTCTTGACGACTGTTGTAAAATTTCCCTTTCAGGAATCACAGCAGAGTGTCAACAGACCCGCTCTCAACTGCAGAACAGAGAAACTGCCATGCGCATGCTGAAGGCCCGCCTCTACCAGAGCATGATGGGTAAAGAGACTGAGCAGAAGAATTTGGCACGGAAGCAGCAGGTAACCCACCTCCCGAAGCCAATACTGTCACAATTATCAAGCAAAGAAAGCAAAAATACACAAACCTGTGTCGTCCTCAAAACGGCAGACCCGCCCCTTCCAAGTTTGTACTACCAAATTTAAAATAGTTATTGTATAATATTATTTTTCTCTCAACATAATATGTACAGGATACAAACCAAACTCTCCAGGAGTGTAGTTCAACGTCTCAAAATCCCAGTTCCTGCATTATTCCCAACAATTCCTTTGGAAAAGTTTCCGACATTTGAAATTGCTGGAATTAAACCACCTTATTTTATAGGTAGATTGTAAATTTTGATTAACACCCAGCCGTGTGTCTTCACACCAGGTGGGAACGCGCTCGCAGTCAGAGAGGATTCGCACCTACAACTTCAGCCAGGATCGTGTCACAGACCACCGGATTGGCTACATTTGCAGAGATATTAAGGTTAGCTGCAGAAACGGTGACCCAAGGTCCGACATCTATCACATTTCTGCATGTTCTTCTAAACCACGCCAGGAGTTCATGCGAGGAAGGGAGGCGCTTGATGATGTCATCAGTGTCGTACTTGAACACGCAGAAAGGGAGGCGCTTCTGGACCTGGTGGAGAACAGCAGAAGCAGTGTGCACTCTTCTGCAGACTGACTCACGCCACAGCTTGCTGTCAAGTTTGGAGTTTGATAGTTCAACATCAATATCGAAACACCGGACATGAGGTGTAGTCACACTGCAAATATTTATTTTCACATTGCAGTTGCAGATTTTGCTCGTGGAAATATATTTTTTTATGTTATTTGCAATTTACTGTACATTCATTATGCCTGTGATTAAATTATTTGTCCTAAAATAATGAAAATAAGAACTTTTTCTTGGTGACAAACTGAAAATTGCTATTTGGGAACCATTTTGTGTCAAAAGCGTCATCTTTATTAGACTGCGGCATCCTTGAAGTTGTCATTATGAAACTGCAAGGCCACTTATCAGCTTTATGCACTCACATACAATCAGCTGCTCACATACTGCCAGCTGATTGATTCACCTCCTGTACATGTTCAAGAGCAACATTAAAATGAACTTGAACTACAAAAGCAAATTCATTTACAATTCAGAAAATGGAAAAAAAATGTGTCTAGTCATCATAGTCTCTTTGTCGAAAGCTTCTGGATTTTCCATTCTGTGATTTGCTTTTCTTGAATGAGGTGGGTCCGCCTTCCACGCCGAGTGATGTGATGATGCGCTCCTTGAACTTGGGTTTTGGTTCCGGTGGCAACTCCTTCGGGGCACTGTCTTCGTCTCCTACTTTGGGCAACTGCAAGTCCACGATTGTGCTGGGAATAAAAAGAGAACAGAGACGAGTTACTGAAACGAATGATCTAAAGGGTGAACAGCTCCAGCAAGTATGAAGGGCACACATACTATGGATCCTTCTCCTCCTTGATCTGTTCCCAAGCGCCATACGGGTTCAGTGATTTTGGCTTCTTAGCTTTTGCCACCTTTTCCTGTTTTTTCATTCCAGGTTCACTGGTTGTATTTTGGACCTCCTCTTTCTTTTCCTCCTTAACATCCTCTTGAGGAATATTGTTGCTTGTTTGACCTTCTTCATCCTTTCCTGAAGGTTCCCCCTCTGCTTTCCTTTTCTGAAATAGCCCATAAGGAAGTTTGAATACAGGTAAATTACTGTTCTCCATCTCAATTGTTCTTACCCTAAATCTATTTTCTGGGACAACGGACGGCAGGGTCGGCTGTTCTGTTATTTCTGCGTCCTGGGATAACTGAACCTCATTACAGCCGTTGTCTCCTGAAGTCAGCTCCTCCTGAAGTGCTTTCTCACTGCCAGATGCCAAGCTGGATTTAGGAGTTTCATTGGTGGGGGGTAAGTCATTTGGCTTTTCCCATCTAGACTCTGAGAGATGAGACAAATGTAACGAGATACAAATTAACAGACTGCTTGCAATGACAGCAAATGTACAATAGAAAACTAGATAGATAGATTTCGAACCTCCTGTTTCTGTGTGGTACCAATATGTATATCCTTCAGGGCTGACACCTTCCATCCAAGCACTACCTGAAGAGTTCTAGGGAATAAGAAAACAGTAAAATAGAATTGCACTATTAAAAGGGTAATCTAGAATCAAAATATGGTAGTTATAGAACCTTGTGCTGTCCGTGCTGCACAAAGTATGAGCCAGTCATGAAGCCTTCAGGCCTGTCCCACTGAGAGTCTGCAGCAAAAAACAAAAACAAAACACAGGTCAAAGTAGACATTCGGACAGAGAATCAATGTTCCAGCGATACCCCTTAAAAAAACCTTTTACCTCCAGTTACGGTGTTATAGTAGTACACGTGTCCGTCATCTGTCCGTCCTTCAACCCAACACATACTCTGTGTTCGGTTTTGCTCCCCTGATGACTTCTTTGGTTTTTCAGTTTTCTTTTGATATTTTTTATGTGGTGGTGGCTCACACAGTACCACAGGTGGTGCTTTAGGTTGTGGCAGTACTGTGGTTTGGACACAAGAACCAGTTCCTGATACAAAAAAAACAATTACAGTCAAGAAAAGAGATGTTTTATGACCAGTCTGTATTTTTAACATAGTGCCACACACTGTTACCAGAGTCCATTTCCATCCTTTTCAGGTCTTCCTGATATGCCTTCAGCGCAGCCTCCTCCATTGCTGCAAACTGTTTTGACATACGGTCCTCTTGCTTTGCTTTTTGGACGCTCTTCTTTTTGATCTACAGAGACAGATCGACAAATGACAGCTGAGGGTAGCCAATACAAAGTCAAGCTCAGTCTGGCCAGTAATGGGGGTGATGCTAGCAAACTGAAGTACTATATTTTTCTTAGTTGTTAATATACCAACAAAGTTCACATAGGTTTCACTTATTGATCCAGTAACCATCAAAATGCAAGACAAATGTGATACAGGTACCTCAGAAATTTTGGCTGCCACATTTTCTTTGTGATTCTTTCCTCTTTCGTGAAATTCGATGCTCTACAATGCAAAATAAACATAAATACTTGTGACCATCACATGAACACTGTCCTCGGCAATAAACAAACAAAATGGGGCTCACTTACGGGCTTATTATCCGCAATCCAACACTTGCAGTATTGGCAGAATTTCCTCGGTTGTGACTTCCAATAATCAGCCCTAAACAGAATAGGAAAAGGATTAGCAGCCTACGCATTGTAGCCTTGACAGCTATGTAGCGAAATACAATATAGATCGATATGCTTCCGTGAAAATTACCCGTAGCACAAGGTGATTTTACTATACTGTACATGTTAAGTATTTGAGAGCGGGTTCTTACATTATAGTATTATGGTGTGATTGTAAGGTAGGATTGAGTTAAAACAAAGAAAACGACACTCAGTCTGTACACATTTCAGGAACAATTCTGTCCATTGCTGATGACGTCACAACAAAGTCGCTGGTGTCCTTGGCCTACCATTCACGGTGTTTCATATATATTATACCTGTATCGGGTATGACACGACCATGGGAAAAGCAGACATTTAATTAAGTCAGAAATATGCCTACCATGAACAGTGTGTGCCCATTTATAAAGTACTGAGAGTGCGCCATTGAACATCTCCCATATGGTCTAGCGGTTAGGATTCCTGGTTTTCACCCAGGCGGCCCGGGTTCGACTCCCGGTATGGGAACACATTTTCTGTCTCCAAGCAAAATTGTTGCCCTACTGTTTTTCACTGTACTGTCTAGTTGAAATCAGCACACGAACGCCACGTTTTCTCACATATATGTGTGTCGAGATTTGTAGCGACCCAAAGTGTGTTAATGTATTATATCACTGTCGGTAAAATAACCTGTCTCGTGTTACTCAAGAGCTCTCAACAAATCCCTGCGCAAAAAAAAAAAAAAAAAAAAAAAAAACCCGTGAGCGCTGAGACGTCATCACTAAGCGCCGACGAGAACATATCTACGCAAAATGTAAGAGCCTGACTACACGCCCGACTTCTCTCCTTTTGAATTTCCCTGCAGCCGGATTATAGCAACTGGCTGCGGGGCTCCGGTGTTGTGGGGCTCCCCATGATCAGCGCCATGGCTGGGTCGTCACACCGCGTAACGCTGGGACCGCTGGTTGCTGCCATCGACCAGGGCACCAGCTCCACACGGTTCTTGGTAAGTGCGGGCACAAGTGGGTCATCTTGTGCTCAGTCGCTCGTTTTTCTTTTCCTATTTCTTGTCTGTACGTTTCACATGTCTGTACGTTTTGCATGAAAATCCATTCTTAGATTTACTCAGGGGCGTCACTAGGTTTCAAGAACAAGGGGGGCTTAGCCCCAAGGGGAACACGGCCCCTTTAGGGGGGTCCGGGGGCATGCCCCCCTGGGAGAATTTTTTTCTACATTCTGTTAAAAATCCATCAATTCCGTGCACTTTGAGAGCAAAATGAAGAGGCTATGAAGAACTACACACATCACATTAGTATCCTCTTTACTATGATGGGGCTTCCTCCCCTGGACTTTAACTGGACTAGATAATAGAAATTATAAAGAGTTCAAAAGTTCAATCTTGGTTGTTCAAGGGAATTAGAAGGATGCCCGATAACATAACCTATATGACAGTAGGCCTATATTCCTCTCTACCAAAATGTATTAATATATGCTTAGCCCCCAGAAGACTATGTATTTTGAGATGTCTGCCGCGATATGCAATTTAAGTTAGTACAATGAGATGCAAAAGCTTCATCACTTTGGAAAAACACAAGTTTGCTGCCCAATACTTACTGTAAGCTCCGATTGCATTTTGGGAACAGCCTTGCAAGTAAAATTAGCTTTGAGATCTGATCGACTCACCTGTCCAGCAGAGCTCCCCCCCCCGCCCCCGGCTCACTCTCTGTGCGTCTTTAGCCTGATAAATGTATTTATTTTATATTTATTTATTTATTTTATATAGGCCAAAATCTCAATAGGTGTTGCCTCAAAGAGTTGGTGTAATGATTATTTATGTATTTAATAATAAAATGTTGCTTAATTTTTATTAAGCACCACCTTAATTTATCCAAAAGTGAACACTTGTTACAGTGCAGTTTCTGCTGTTACTGGAGATATTTTAGCGGACTATAGTCACTAGTTTTACCAGCATGGATGCATTGAATACTTAATTTACCTTTCTAAAAAACTGTCGAATATCCATGCTGTCGACTCAACCTGACTTTCGGCAATGAACTGTCAGTTGTTGCGTTAGCATTTGATGTGGCGATGGTGACAGACACGTCAAATGCTAACGCAACACCTGTTGCGTTCAGGAAACCTGGGAGATTTAACATCACAATGATGGCAGGTTATCGAAATATAATTTAAAATGGCCACATTACGTTGAATTTGATGCAATATATTCGCAAAAGTACAGGAAAAATAAATAATACTTTTTTTTAAATAATGCAATGAAATTATTTAGGGGGGCTAAAGACATTTTTAGGGAGGCTGAAGCCTCCCTAAAATAGGCCTAATGACGCCCATGGATTTACTAATGCCACAGATGCCAAAGTGAACTCAGCCCTCCACGTCGATATTCGCTTGACCGAGGTTAAAAGCCATACCAATATGATAAATTAGTTTCTGTCAGTCGCCGTGGTAAATTTCTCAGATCAGAATTTAATTTCTCAAACCTTTTTCTCAGATGCTTTGGTAAATTTTTCAGATCAGAATTGAATTTCTACAAAACTACTACTGCAAGTACAGAGTATGCGCCCTGCTTAGTGATCCAAATATTTGCCAGTGGGGCAGTAAATAGTGTCGTGTACTATATAGCATGTAACTTTCATGTGCTCTTTTGGCAGGTGTTCAATTCCAAAACGGCTGAACTCCTCAGCCATCACCAGGTGGAAATAAAACAGAGCTTCCCCAAAGAAGGGTCAGTGTGTGGTTAAATAATCCATGAATGCATCCCTCTGAAGACCTGAATTGTGTTTGTGCTTCTCAGATGGGTGGAGGAGGACCCCAAAGAAATCTTGCAGTCTGTGTACGAGTGCATGGAGCGCACATGTGAAAAACTCACACAACTCAATATTGACATTGCTAATATTAAAGGTATGCGGGATTGTGTCTTTTGCAGTTCCTGTAAAATCCCATGAATAATACTCGGTTATTTGTTTCTTTCCAGCGATTGGAGTTACCAACCAAAGGGAAACCACACTTGTTTGGGACAAAGAAACTGGGGAGCCGCTGTACAATGCAATAGGTAACCTTTATTTAATTACTGTAAAGTGTATCCTGAGCAAGAAAACGTATTTGCCTCTTATTTCTCAGTTTGGCTTGACCTGCGAACTCAATCTACAGTTGAGAGTCTGATCAACAAAACACCAGGGAGGAATAAAAACCACCTGAAGGTGAAAACCAAACCAGTCATGCAACATTCCAGTGATCAGCCAGGAAGCATTTGAAAAAATGTTTGCTGCAGTAACAAATCAAAATACTTGTTTGAAGTATTTTAGCTGTGTTAAGGCAAATGTCATGAAATTTATAAAGGTGTTACATTTTGTCTGATGTTTCAAGTTCCAATTTCTGCTCTTTAAATTTATCAATCACGTACCTGTAACATCAAATTGTTTCCTTTTGCTAAATCATGGCCACTCTTGGCCAATTGAAAAGCATGATTTAATTATTATTTTGTTAATCAAGCCCTAAATTGACCCAAGATAAACAAAAAGGAAAATATTATACGTGTCAAACTGCCGCAGTATAGTGGCAACTACTGCTGAGGATTGTCTTACTCGAATTTAAAAAAACATATTAGTGGCTGGTATCGGCAGCCTCTCTGACTATTCGATACCATAAAATAAAATAAAATAAAAAGCCAGTATTGGCCTGATACTGATACCTGTATCGGTACTGGCCACATCGGAGATTATTATAATGATATTTTTGCTACTGAAAAATTGACCCAGAACATGCACGTGTGCATGGTAAACTAACATTTAGGCCATTTATATCCTGTAAATTGATACAACCCATCACAATTTGTTACCCTTTTACATCATCTAGCATAAAACAGGTCTCCCCATCAGCACTTACTTCAGTGCGGTGAAACTTCGCTGGTTGATGGACAATGTCGACGAAGTTCACAAAGCTGTACTTTCTCACCGTGCCATGTTTGGCACCGTGGACTCTTGGCTCATTTGGGTGAGACATTTGTTGCCACTTATCTTTTTTTTTTTCGGGTTAAAAGAAGTTGAGCGTGACTGGGTGCAAATATCCTCCAGTGTTTAACCGGAGGAAAGTCTGGAGGGGTTCACTGCACAGATGTGACCAATGCCAGTCGGACCATGTTGTTCAACATTCACACCATGGACTGGGACCCAGAGCTCTGCAAGTAAGACACTTACTCGTTGCCTCTGTGCATGTCGTATTGGGTACATACTTCCATCAGGCTAATGCTTTTTCTTGATCCCCATCAGATACTTTGGTATTCCAATGGAGATTTTGCCTCGAGTGAGAAGCTCTTCTGAAATCTATGGCCTCATGGTGAGCCATCATCACAGGTTTATTTATTTATTTATTTATTTTGTGCCGCTAGAAAAATAACCAGAGCTGTTCTGAGTGCATGAACATTGACCAAGAAACTCTTTTAGGCATTATTTTGTGTGCCATTGTCTCCCCTCTCTCGCTGGTAGAAAATAAGTTCGAGCTGGGTAAGTCATATTATAACTCGCCACTTTCCTTATCACGCTAAACCCTGCTTCTTCTGTGTGGTTGCTTACACTCTGTCTCACAAGATCATTTCCAACTTTGAGCAGATAGTTTAGTGGCTAAGGCAGTTTTCTACCAAAATTATGTGAAGCAAAATGACAAAATATGTCCTGTTAATTGGATACAAACATTGTTTGGTTCTACAAATATCTACAATTGATATGTTGCCGTTTGGAAATGGGCTGTTCAACTTTGCTTCTCTTGTGACACGGCACTCACCAGCTTCTGCTCCACCCATCGCCTGAACGTTCCTTAATCTCTTCACTCCTTGATCACACCCTGAGTACCCTGTGCATACAAAGGAGTATATTGACGATATTGAGGCCATGTCCACACGGACATTGGTGGAGTGAAAAACATATGTTTATTGATGTACTATGGCTTTTAGTTAATGAAAAGGGTGAATATATTGCAAGAGTTTTGTTTTCCGTTCCCCGTGCTGTTTTAGTCAATAAGGTGCTTTTGAGATGTCCCGTTTCACCTGAAAAAAATAAATAAATTGAACTTAATATTCATTCTATAAAGTAGACTCAAATCCCACACACAATATAATAACTGCAAGCAAACAATGTACACACAAACAGTGTAATATTTGAGCTAGCTGACAGGGTGGACATTTTTGGCTAATGCTAGCATTTCATGAGAAAATGCACCTTCCATTTAGAAATGTGTCAATTAGCATCATGGCTGCGCACTGCAAGTTTATACCAATTTCTATTTGA